AAACTTAGATTTTCTGAAAATTTGAACCGATTCGGACCGGTAGATTTTGAGAAAATGCAAAAAAAGTAAAAAAAGTTGTTTTTTTTTTCATTTTTTTTAAATATCTCCGAATTGATTGAACCGATCAACTTCAAAAACTAATCAGCTCTTAACCTTGAAATCCCCCATCGATCGCCACATAGAGAGTCAAAATCGGTTGATGCGTTCGTGAGATATCGTTGTCGAAAAAAATCGAAAAAAGTGTTTTTTTGTAATAACTCCGAAATTTTTCATCAGATCAATTCTTTTGTTCAGAATCATTTATAGAGCTCAAAAAATCACATCGATCGCCGCCAACCGCGTGAAAGTCGGTTGATTTATTAAAAAGTTACAGCAGTTTGAAAATTAGAAAAATCGTGTTTCATTGAATTTCGATAAGACTTTTGAGCTCGAAGAGCTCAAAAGCATTGCAAAGCTATCTCTTTGAGCTCGGAGAGCTTCAAATAACACATAAATTGTATTTTTGAGCTCGAAGAGCTCGAAAACGTCATAAGTGCAATTTTAAGCGCCTAGGTATGGAATTAGCGGGAAGTTGCAGGGGTGGCCTTTAGGGTCAACCGTTTTTCTAATTTTTTTAATTTTTAAATTTAAAATAAGTAGGAATTGGACCTCAAAGAATATTTGCGATTAACTATTTAAAGAAAAATTCTAAGAGTCGACGGGATTTGAATTCGGGTCCTTCTAGTTGCCAGTCCTGCGCGCTACCACTGATCCAGATTGCACGATGCAGCTACAGAACATTATTTATTTTATTTGAATTGAAACACAAGATAGTCTAGGTTTTTATTAAAATTCTTCATTATTTCATGGAGCATCACGAAAGTAGTAGTTTTAATTTTTGATTTTTGATTTTTTCTGTTATTTATGGTTAATCTTTATTTTTTATTGTAATTATTCCCTAGTGAAAAAAAATTATATATAATTTTATATGCTTATATATAAATCATCTTATTTAAGGAGTGAGCTGTTAAAATTTCAAGGCGATCCGAATATTTTCCCGAAAGTTAAATCATTTCTTTATAAAACTAGGCTTAAATTTGAATTGTTCATAATTTTTCTGCTATTGGTCAGACGTGGATGTTTTAAAATAGATGAAGTCTATGAAGTTCGCCGTTAGTCAAAACTTGCAAATAAATAACTATGATTTCTGATTGGTCAAACGGGAAACTTTACTTACTTACTATTGTTCAAGCCTAAGAATGTCGACATATATATCGATATGTATCAAATAAGAAAATCACTAAACAATGTATTACATTAATTTATAAAGCTTAGATTTGGAAGCATGTGGATGGGCACTGAAAATTTCTAATTTAAAGAAAATCATTACCGTTTTTTTTTTAAGCTCTACAATTCATTTCTGCACCTTGAAAATTTAAAATCAATTAGCTCGGAAGAAGAATTTACTTAATTAGCATTTTTTCAATTGCTTATTATAAATTAACAAATAGTGATCGTCATTCAGTTTGTTCTGAAATTTTATAATATTCTGTTGAACTATCTAGAAACAACCTCCCGAGTACAATTGAAGGTAATGCTATTTAATCGAGTAAACCTACGTAAAATTGAATATCTTTTTTGGACCATTCGACTGATTTTTTACGTTAACTAGTATTTGGAAAATTTAACAAAGAAGGTTTGCTTTTTATTTTACTATGTACTATGTATATAACAGCAGGTCAAATTATTAGAAACTACTTTACCCTCATGATCATATAACGTAAGTCAGATCGTAGTGGGATACTTTGGTCACATTTTATTAACAATTAAAGTCATTTACAATTGATTTTTTCAACATTTTGCAAAATAAGTAAAAATTTATCCAAAAAAAGCTTTAACGCTAATTATGTTGAAGTATTTTATAATTGAAAAATTACATTAGATTTCTCAAATGCGTTGTCAACTATATCTTTGGTGCAGCTTTGGAACACTCTATTATTTAAATTAATGAACAAATAGAAAAATGTTTTAAATTAATATAAGATAGCCTGTCTCATCCGAGGATAGTGTAGCTTTCCAACAGTGAAAGAATTTTTTAAATCAGTTCAGTAGTTTCGGAGCCTATTCAATGCAAACCAACAAACAAACAATCAAATCTTTCCTTTTCATAATATTAGTATAGATCATATAAAATTATACATAATTTTGTATAATTATATATAATTCTATATAACTATATCTTATTATATAAAATTGTTTTCCCTGGTAGATAAAATTATATATAATTATACAAAAATCTTTAAAATGATACATAATTTTATATTTATTAATGATATATTTTTCGACCGACATGATAGTATATATGAATTAGAATTTTGGCCTATTTTCGGAAGAAGACTAGTGTTTTTCTAATTTAAGTCTAAAGATGGATATTTCATCTTCCCTTTTGATCGAGAGCTATATTCTCTCTTCACAGTAGTTCGATAGATATCCATCAAACTTAAATACTAGTAAAGCTGGAAGCTTGTAGTATATGTTCGAGGTATGATGTTAATCAAGTGAAAGATAGTGAAAGAAAATTGAATGAGAGCAAAGACAGACTTTGAAAAAAATAAATGGGGTTGGTTACCAATCCAGGAATCGAACCTGGCTTTTTTGAAAGTCTGTCTTTTCTCTCATTCAATTTTCTTCCACTATCTTTCACTTAATTAACATCATAACTCGAACAGATACTACAAGCTTCCAGCTTTACTAGTATTTAAGTTTGATGAATACCCATCGAACTACTGTGAAGAGAGAATATAGCTCTCGATCAAAAGGGAAGATGAAAAATCCATCTTTAGACTTAAATTAGAAAAACACTAATCTTTGTCCGAAAATAGGCCAAATTTCTAATTCATATATAATTTTATATATTTATATAAAATTTTAAGTTAACAATTATGTATAATTAGATAAAAAAAAAGTGTGTGTCAGCTCCGACGCACGACTAGTTTACTCCTTACGACCGATTATAAAATAAATAGATTAGTGAATAAGAGTACATGAATGTATTTCTTATATTACTTAGAGTATGCATGACACATCTACAGATTGATTTTTATTCATTGTTCGAGGTATGATGCTAATCAAGTGAAAGATAGTGAAAGAAAATTGAATGAGAGCAAAGACAGACTTTGAAAAAAATAAATGGGGTTGGTTACCAATCCAGGAATCGAACCTGGCTTTTTTGAAAGTCTGTCTTTTCTCTCATTCAATTTTCTTCCACTATCTTTCACTTAATTAACATCATAACTCGAACAGATACTACAAGCTTCCAGCTTTACTAGTATTTAAGTTTGATGGATACCCATCGAACTACTGTGAAGAGAGAATATAGCTCTCGATCAAAAGGGAAGATGAAATATCCATCTTTAGACTTAAATTAGAAAAACACTAATCTTTGTCCGAAAATAGGCCAAATTTCTAATTCATATATAATTTTATATATTTATATAAAATTTTAAGTTAACAATTATGTATAATTAGATAAAAAAAAAGTGTGTGTCAGCTCCGACGCACGACTAGTTTACTCCTTACGACCGATTATAAAATAAATAGATTAGTGAATAAGAGTACATGAATGTATTTCTTATATTACTTAGAGTATGCATGACACATCTACAGATTGATTTTTATTCATTGAGTAATTTTCTCAATTTTGAAATAAATATCAATTGATATAAATTTATATTTATATCAATTATAAATAAAATATAAAATTTACGATCAAACCTCCGCAAGTTGACAATTGTTGTAGGTTAATATCAGGTTAATACAATATGCAATTAAAAGTAAATATATTAATTATCGTATTCGGCTTATTAAACCTACCTCGGGGTAAAACAAACGAATAGCAGCTGACTGGATCTGAAGTTTTCAAGATTTAAAATTTTAATTTGAGGTCCAATCAAATTCTTTTGTATTCACTGCCCCGGGGTAGGTTTTGTAAGCCGAACACGACAAATGATTCTTTGAATCGGAATTTTTAATAATTTGAAAATTTTGAATCGGCTAATTTTACGTAATGCTAGGCTAAGTATCATCTAAAATTGCTTTTCTAGATTCTAAAATGGCAACATTTACGATTTTCAATTTTACAGAAATTCAATATTTAAAATATTATTATTTGAGAAATGACAATCTTTTTAAATTTCAATATTTTTTTTCGTTTATTTGTTACTTTGAATTATTCTTTAGAATCATTTTCATAAATTAGCTTATGTCAGATTGGCATTATTTTATTAATTCAGCATTTTATTTGAATTGTTTATTTTTAAGTGAATGCCTTTTTAGATGTTCTTTTTCGAAAATTCGCGGATTTCTTCTTTGTCATTTTTTACTTTACGCTCAATTTACACCTAGCGTTATATTTTTTTTGCTCACATTAGCAATCTTTTTTTTAGGTTTAGTAAATTTGACAAAGGGCATAATTTTAGATTTTCAACATTTAGACTTTAGAAACGGCCGAATTTACAATTTTCAATTCAACTATAAACTTAAATACCTATTTGAATTAATGCGCGCAGCTGTATATATTATATACTTATATATTTTATATAGTAATAAGTTATTACTAATAACTAATAAAATATATAGGTATACTTAATGCGTAAGCTGACCCGCAACATACCCCGTGAACGTTTGAATGCTCGCGCCTAAAAAGAGAAAGTTTGCGCAGAATAGAGGTTGCGCACCAAAAACGTAACGAGGACATTCATCAGTAGATTTTACCTCTCATATTTTTTTCATACCGGGCGCCTTATATATGAAAATCGATTCCTAAGGAGTAAACTCGAATTATATATAATTATACAAAATTATATAAAATTATACATATTTTTATATAATTTTGTATAATTATATCTTATTATATAAAATTTTTTTCTCCGGGAAGATAACATTATATATAATTACGCATAACTTTATATATTTATAGAAAATTATACATAATTATATTAAATTTTATATATATTTATGTAAAATTAGATCAAATTATATATAACTAAATATAATTTTTTTTCCCCGGGATATACATTTCTTCTTATCATTAATATTATTTTTAGATCAACGAATAAATAAATAAATAAATACAATAATTACCTCACGAGAAGGTGGTGCGACAGGCTGACCATTGATGCTTTTGATGAAATCTTGGCCTTTGACCATCAGGACGTAGTAGCATTTTTTGAAGCACTTGGCGTGCTGGAACCATGGATCGTCTTTGGGCTTCCAGTCATTCAACCCACCGCCACAGTGATAGCAGATAGTTTGGTCACCAGTGCCGCGGTAGAAGAAGCCAGCGTCAGCAAGTTGCTCCTTGGTTTGTGGCATAGATTTGGGCCATGACTCAAAACTTTCTAATCTGGCGTTGTAACTCGCGAATTCCCGATGTCTCGATCCTTTGAGCAGGGCGAGGTTTTGACTTCCCAACTTAGCAGTCCTGGGAAACTGGAATTCTGTCTGGCCAGAACGAAAGCCTGGTGATGCGCCAGGTTGGAATTCATCATAACAACCGTATACATCACGACCTCTAGGACCAATTGACGGAACGGTACTTGGATCAACACCAATCGGCACGTTACCACAGGGATATTTCCTTAAGAAATGGCAACTGGACCGCCAACGCTGGTGAACTGACATCGGATTGTCGCCCTCTACCCACTCGCGTATTACGATTCCACATTCGAAGCATTTGACATCATCATTGTGGCCCGTGTAGTAGAATCCAGCCGCTGCCATTTTCGCAGGGTCCATGAAGCTCAGACGCCAGCCGGTGTAGCTCTGCAGTCTCACAGATTCCTGGCGATAATCTGCCCGTGGAAACTCCCGATTATTCACTTCGTCGGACGAGATATTATTGTTGTTGTTATTATTATTGTTGGGTAACTGTGACGCCGGCTGAATCGACGAAAGTCGCAGATTCACCGAAGACATTAAATTATGCAATTTCTTACGCAGATTATTTCTAATATAGTCCGTCATTTTTGATGAAGATGAAAATGATGCTGCAGGTGACAATAATTTATTCCTTGTTCCAATAACTAAATTAGACACTTTGAATTTCAATTTCTGTAATCACAAATTATTTTTCGATTAGTATACCGTTGGAGAATTGTTCAATTTTATTTTTTTTATTTTTAACTTCCCGCTAAAAATCTTAGATTTTCAAAAATCGGGAAGTTATTGTTTTCACCCCGTTTTACAAAAATCGAGTTTTCATCAAATCTCGACGTTTGAAGGTCACAGGAAGCTTCCTTGACTATTTTTACGATGATGTCCGTACGTCTGTATGTATGTGTGTGTATGTGTGTGAGTGTGTGTGTGTGTGTGTGTGTGTGTGTGTGTGTGTGTGTGTGTGTGTGTGTGTG